TACATATTCTAGATATTAGTCCTTTAAGAAGTAGCTGGCAAAAATCTCTTCTCATTCTGTTAGCTTCCTCTTCATTTTATTGGTGGTTTCCTTTTCTTTATTATGTAGAAGCTTTTTAATTTGATATGATCCTAATTTATTGGTTCTTGGTATTATTTCTTGTGAAACTGGGGTTTTAGTCATAAAGTCTTTGCCTACACCTATGCCTTCAAGCACTTTGACTACTTTGTCTTCTAGCAGATTGGCTCTTTGACCCATTTTTATTTTATTTTAGTGCATGCTGAGACATATGAGCCTAAGTTCAATCTTTGGCATGTGGACAGCCTTTTTTCCCAGCGCCATTTATTAATAAAGAGGCTGTCTTTCCTCCAGTGAAGAAGGGATTTGGCTCCTTTGTTACCGATAACGTAGCTGAGTGTGAGTGGTATTATTTCTTTATCTTGTATTCTGTTCCACTGGTCCACAAGTCTTCTTTCTGATAATATCATGCTGCTTTTATCACTGTGGCTTTGTAGTATAACTTGAATTCTAAAATTGTGATGCCTCCTGCCTTGCCCTTATTGCTCAGAATTGTGTTCATTATTCTAGGTCTTTTCTGATTCCATATAAATGTTGGGATTGTAAGGAATGTTACTGGTATTTTATTAGGATTATTTTTCCATTTTCTAATATCCTCTTCAATTTCCTTTTTCAGAGTACTATAGCTTTTCCATAGAGATTGTTCACTTCCTCAGGATAATTCCTAAGTATTTCATTTTTCTTGATGTTACTGTTTTCATTTTTCTTGATGTTACTTTTAGAAGTATTGTTTCTCTAATTTCCTTCTTGGTGATTTTGTTATTGGTGCACAGGAATGCTATTGATTTTTGAGTATTGACTCTGTGTCTTGCTATGCTACCAAATTTGTTCTAGACATTTTTTGGTGGAGTTTTTGGTGTCTCTTTTATATAGAGGATCATATCATCAACAAACAATGATAATTTAACTTCTTTCATTAATCATATTACTTTTATTTCTTTCTCTTGTTCTCTTTTAGCTAATATTTCAAGAATTGTATTGAGCAGAAGTGGTGACAGCAAACAACCTTGTCATTTTCCTGATTTTAGAGGCAAAGTTTTCGGTTTCTCTCATTTTATATTTATATGATGTTGGCAGTTGGTTTGTCATAGATGTTTTTTTATCAGTTGAGATAAGGACTTTGAATTTCTATCGTCTTCAGGGTTTTTACCATGAATGATGTTGGATTTTGTCAAATGCTTTTTCTGCATCTATTTTTCAATAGATGCAGAAATCGTGTGGATTTTGTCCTTGCATCTGTTTATATGGTCTCTCACATTTATTGAGTTGTGTATGTTGAACCATCCCTGAATCCTTAGAATGAATCCTACTAGACCAAGTAGGATTATCAAAAAGATATTATGATCTTCTTGATAATTCGCTGCATTCTATTTGCCAGTATCTTACTGAAGATTTTTGTATCTATGTTCATTAACAAGATTGGCATATAATTTTCTTTTTTGGCTAGGTCATTTTCTGGTTTTGAAATCAGGATAATGCTTGCTTCCAGAAATGACTGTGGAGTACTGCTTCCCTTCCATTTTCATAAATAGTTTGAGGAAAACTGGTTTTAGATCTTCTCTAAAGTTCTTACAGAATTCAGCAGTGAATCCTTCGGGACCTGGACTTTTCATAGTTGGTAACTATTATTATTGTCTTCAGTTTCACTGACTGATATTAGCTTATGTAGCATTTTTTTTATTTTCTTGGTTCAGCTTTGGTAGTAGATATATATTTAGGAATTTATTCATTTCTTTTGAATTTTCCATTTTATTAGAGTACATTTTCTCTTCTGGATTGCCTTTTTCATGTCTAATTTCAAGGATATAGGTGTTTTATTTCCTTCTTTTGGTAAGACTGGCTAAGAGTAGCTCTATTTTGTTTACTCTTTTAGGGAACTAAGTCGATTCATTGATTCTTTGTTTTATTATTAGTTTTAATTTAAATTTCAATAATTTCTGATCCTTATAATTTTCTTCCTGCATTCCCTTTGGGTTCTTTTTTTCTAAGACCTTGAGATGCACAATTAGGTTATTTATTTGAGCTCATTTTTGTTTTCCTGATGTGGAAATTCACTGCCATTAACTTCCCTCTTATGACTGTTCATTGTGTCCCATAGTTCCCAGTTTATTGTACTAGTATTATTGTTTGATTGCAGAAATCTAATGTCTTCTAATTTCATCTATGATTATCCAAGAGAATATTATTTAATTTCCATGAGTTTGCATAGTTTTGTGGTGTCTTTTGCCACTGATTTCTAGTTTCAGTTCACTGGCTAGTGTGTGGTTTGTTTTGGAGAAAATCCTATATGCTTCTGAGAAGAACTGTACTCTGATGTTGTTGAATGGATCTATGAAGTCCATTTGTTTGAAGGTTTGGTTCAATTCTGATATTTCTTTGTTGATTTTTTTGTCTAATTAATCTATCCACTTGTGACAGTGGTGTATATAGCTCCTCATTGTAATTTATTGATGTTTATCTGGTTTTTCATGTCCGTTAGTGTTTATTTTATGCAGTCTGATGTACTGTTATTTGATGTATATGCTTATAATTGCTAACTCATCCTGTTGACAATTGCTCCCTTAACCAATATGTAGTGATCTTCTTTGTCTTGTAATCCCTTGATTCTTTGTCAAGTAATCCCTTGACCCACATCTCAGTCCACCTCCTCGCACTTTCTCTGCTCCCTTCAATAAAAAGTTTTCTATATCTCTTTACTACTCCAAACAAATTTCATCTGGCACTTCATAGAAAGCCTTCTATCAAGCTCACTGCCAAGTCTCTGTCTTAACCTCATTCGTGCTTTTAGTTTAGCCAGTCTCAGAGAATGGATACTGCCTAGACGTTAGGACATCACAGTGCTCAGGCACAGGCCTCCTCTTTTGTCTCCTCTATCTAAAGATGTCTGCTGCTGTACTCTTGCTGCACATATACATGCAATGAGGATGCCGGAGAAATACTACAACATATTAACTTAGAAGCCAATTTATATTAATCTCAGGCAAGTTATATCATCATGATATGAGCAGAGTCCTACAGCAAGTTGAGCTTTACATGGCCAAATAAAAATCTAAGTCACCTACCAAATGTTTCTTGTCTTTCCCACACTTTTATATTACTTCAGTGTCCTGACAGGTCACAACTACTTGCAAAAGACGGAGTTATTCAGCTCTCACAAGTCTTCACATCTTTAAGTCAGAGATGTCTCTTATACAAGTTTCTACTGAGAATAAAGCAAAGGAAGTTCAAATCATTTGCACACCTAAGTGATAAACACTCATTCCTTTGTCTCTTCCAAAACTGAGTCTCAACAAAAACAAACTATTTATGACTAGGAATCATAAAGAGCTTAAAAATGATCAAGTATTAAACTGGATATTAAAGCTATAAAGAATTTCAAAAATAAAGCATAAAGATATAAGGAAGAAGTTATGGCTTTTATCAAGATGTCCCTCCAAAGCCTCGTGTGCTCACAGGTGGGGTTTCTCAGGGCTGCTGGATCTAGAATGTATGAATATGGGTGATGGATGTGTGATAAGTGGATTAGGCTGCTGCTTGGATTACACTACTTCTGAGTATGGCTAAATGAATTTACAGAGTGTGGGTGGCACCAATAAATAGGCTTGTAGTCTGGGCAAAATACAAAGGGAAAGGAAGGATTTTCTGCTTCATGACTGCCATGCCATGAACAGTTCCTCCTCTGTAATGCCACACCATCTTGCCTTGGCACCAGCCAAATATGGACTGAAACCTCTACAAACTGTGAGCTAAAATAAGCCTTTAACATGTGGATATTAGCTGTTTTGTCCCAACAAAAAGAAAAGTAACTGACAGAAGGAAAAGAACAAAGTAAATATGGAGAGCAGTAAGTGTATAATTGTTGGGTCATTCAAATTTAAAATTATCCTATTTGGGAAGGATATATAATGCTAGGGTTTGTTCTCATCAATCTTCAGAGGACCTAATGTCCTGACCCTGAATTCTAGACCCATATATGTATCAGCAGAACCTCCTGACACTATGATAACTGTCTGTCTGATCCTGCCTGTTGTCTGTGACCAAGATCCTTGGCCTGGTACTCCTTCCCTTACCTACTCTCAGGGTCTTTCTAGACGTGTTTTATTCATGGTAATCCCACCCTAAGAGGTTGCCCTGTCATATCAATACCCAAGTTCCAAGTCCAACTGCATGGAGACCAGGGTGGAAGCTAGAAATAGACCATTTTTGAGGAACAAAAATGTAGTCTAGAAAGAAATGATCAAGATAGTGGAAGCCATAGGTGAAAAAAGACTATTGGGTACAGGTCAACCAATAAGCATTCACTTCCAGAAATAGAAAAAAAATGGGAAAATAGAAGAAGTTAGTCAAGAAAAATAAGTTCATCTCTGCAACTCATTGCTTATTTCTCAATATTCCATAAATATTGATTGATTAAATGAAACAAGTTTGGGCTCTAACTAAAGTCTTAGATATTTGCAATATGTCATAATCTTTTTTTAAAAAGAAGTAAGCAGTAAAAAAGGAAATGATACAGAATTTCAAAAAATAGTAGGAAATCACTAATATATATTGTTATATTAATATATTGCCTATTGTTATCTTAGAAGTAGTTCAGGTTATAAAATTTAGAAACATTAATTAGCTATAAAAAGGATGATCTTGAGGCTTTTATAGGTAAATGGAGGCAACTTAAGACCATACTTATAAGTGAAATAAATCAAACTCACATTTATAGATATCCTATTGTCTCCCTAGCATAAAAATAATAAAATAAAAAACTGAAAAAGTAATAAGATCCAAAATCTACAATAGATATTGTAATAATGAAAGGGAAAGTGCTCAAAAGGAATATGTCATAATCTTCAGAGTGAATATTTACACATTCTTAATTTGAATTTCAAAAATGCAGCTATCATTTCAAAAGACCAAACCAGACAAACATCAACAATTGTTACCTGATTTTTATTTTGACTTCAATTATCTTCAAAATGTGTAAGACAGTCTCCCTTGCGGTAATGCAATGTCAGTGACTATAATTGATTTCACTAAAATACAGAGCTGTTCCTGCAAAGCTAGCAATATAGACCACTAAGCCTAGAAAAACATTCACTTTCCATTATTGAAGGAAGGGATTTCTGAACTCCAGTGCTTCACATTTCAAAATAAAAGCACTGAATCGATAGGCTCAATAGCTAAGCTTAAACTGGAATCCAGAAACACTGCCAGCAAGGAACCATTAGGTTTCACCAACTATGGATAAAAGTAAGTTTTATGTGTTGTCCTTGGATTTTTGTTTGTAAGCTTTTAAAAATCCTATCTAAAATAGAGGGATTTATTTGAATTGATAAGGGGCCCAAATTGACCTCATTAAGATTCATTTTTTGCCAGTCAAAAGACTTCTACTGCAAAGAAAAAAAAAGAGGGAGGTTAAAGTGGAAGGGAAGAAAAGGGAAGGGCATTCCCATTGCTCGTGCAAAATGTCCAACAGCTGCTGCTTTAAGCAGAGATTTAATTTGGATCACAGATCCAGAGGATTCATGCCACTGTCCACCTGCTCCAAGGCAGGAGCATCATGGTGGAAGGGCATGGCAGAGCAGCAGCCCACTTCCAGGAGGATGGGAACAGAGCAGAACAGTGCCAGGGAGAAAGGAGCTAGACTAGATACGGACCCAAAGTCCTGCCTCCATGCACCACAGAGACTTATGCCAAAAAGTGTCTTACTGCTAATCCCCTGGACAGCAATCAGGCTCATCACATTGACAATTCAGCTCAATAAGGAAGGGGTGAGAGCGGGGGAGGAGAGGGAAATGTCATAATACGCAGACTGTCCGTGATTTCTGTTCATTTCATTTCACTGATCATTTTATTCTTCCTTTATTAGTAATTGTTGTTATAATAGCCTTTCTTGAGCTATGAGTCACATACATTTCAACTGTTTAAAATATATAAAATCACAGATTTTAGCAGTTTTTTTATTTACCTAAGAGAGAAAAGACAGAAAAGAAAAAGCAAAAAGCAAGAGAGACAAACAACAGACCCAAAACAAAAAGAGTATAGGTTTTCAACACAAGATAACAGGAATTTAACAATGGTTATAAAATTGCATATTGTTACCTTCCAAAGGGTAATTTAGTTTACTATATGTACACATGTAAAATTGATCTAATTATATGAGTATTAGCTGTTCTTTTCCAAGAACTAATACAATTAGTAATATAGCAGTTTCTACAATATTTTGTAGATTTTCGATCATATTTGTTCTTTCAGTTTCTTACACTAAGGGAAACAATATAGCATTTACACATGTAAGTTTGATTTATTTCACTGAGTATGGTATCAAATCACATCCATTTACTTATAAAAGCCTTGACACAATCTTTCTGTATAGCTGAGTAGTACTCTATTGTATAAAAATGCCACATCTTTTTTCATCCATTCCTCGATTGATGGGCAGTTGGGTTGTTTCCAAGATTTAGCTATGAAAAAAGAAATTTAAGAGGAGTTCAGAAAATGGAAAGATATTCCTTGTTCACGGATAGGAAGAACAAACATTGTGAAAATGGCCATTCTCCCATAATTGTTATACAGATTTAATGCAATTCCAACCAAAATACCATTTGCATACCTCACAGATCTAGAGAAATCATTCCTAAAATTCATCTGGAACCAGAAGAGACCTAGAAGAGCAAAGGTAAATCTGGGCAAAAAAAGGGAAAGCAGGACGCGTCACAATCCCTGACTTGAAATTATACTACAAAGCTAATGTGATAAAATCAGCATGGTACTGGAATAAAAACAGACCTGAAGATCCATGGAATAGATTAGAGGACATAGCCACATTTTTTAACAGATTTTAGTATACTCATAGTTGTACAATCGTAGCCACAACCATTTTTGGAACATTTTCATCACACCAAAAAGAAATTCAGTACAAGAAGTGGTCATTCTGTATTTTAAACTGTAGATACAACCTGAAAGGGGAGTGGTCAATGTAGAATAAATCAATGACACTAAATTTCGACTAGATAGTTTGCTGACTAAAGGTACTTTGGACTGAAGACTCTTCTCTCTCTTTCTTTATTTCTTAGGAATAAAAGCACCCAGACAAACCCCAACTGATATTTCTTCCTCAAACCAATTAGAATAATTTTAGAAGAATCTAAACAGAGATATCTTTCTTACCACCTGGTCCAGGTATTTAAGGTCTGTCCCTGTTGCCAAAGTCATCTCTTCACTCCTGTGCTACATATTACACTATCAGAAGCATTTGCTACCCGTAGTTACATCAAATCTAGTCCTTGAATGGCCCTGGTTGCTAATTATATACTAAAAAAAGTCAATATTCTACTGTAAATGTTGTACCATGTGAACACATAATCCAGTTAGTATATCCACCCCCTGAACCACAGTGCATTTGTCCCTTTAACTGCTTCCAAGAGTCTCCTCAATTGAGAACTGGGACCAGCCTGCTGTTTAAATTCAGCAGTCTTATCCATAGTTCCTTCCTTAAAGGAGGTAAGAACCTTGGACTGCATGACTATCTGTACATCAAACCTCACATCACGTGCACCTGTGCATCTGGAACAATCATCAGGAGGTTTTACTTGGTCCTTCCAGTATTGAGTGGGTAGAGGAAAGGATAAAATGTTTTTTTGCCCTTATCTCTTGTAAATTAACACTGTGTGTATTTCCTTTTCCTTATGTGGATGGATGGAAGCTCCACCACACTTCAGAACAGCTTCCTAAACATCAGGGTACAGGGAGACCAAAGTGAGAGTATTTCTTCCTCTTAGGTGGGTAAAAATCTAAGTTTTGTTAATTCCAGCATATGCATCAAATACTAAGCCACTGGAGCCCACTTGTCAAGGATCACAGCTCCCTATTAAAATATAAAGCTTACTCATGGAACTGGAGGTGGCCTACCAGCAGGATCAATGCCGTAGTTATTATGAAAACTGGCAAAGAATTGCGTAGAAAAATCACCTGTCACCCTAACAGATGAGTCTTTGCTCAAAAAACTGATAAATTTAGAACAATTTCTTAGTCAGACTCATAAAGGCAAAATTACATTTTATGGAAAATGATAACTTCCTAAAAGTTACTTTTTAAATTGAATGTTCCACTCTGGAGATACTGGATAAATTCCCTGTCTCTCCTACTAAAGGTCACGCCAAAAAATAACATATATGATTATTCACAGTGATCATCTATCTGAGCAAAGGTTTACTTGTGGCAAATTTATATCAAATATTCAATCTAAGATTAAGATGTTTATGTTTGCTGAAATAATTTGCAAATTAGCATCACTAACTCTAAAATCAGAGTCTAATTTGAATTCTGTGAAATTTCAAGATGGTATACTCCAATAAAAAGGAACAATTAAAAATGTGAGCTTTGGGGGAAGGCTAATGGTAGCTATTAAAGAAGGCTGGGCATGGGACCTAGGTTTTCTCTGGCTTCAAGTGCTCTTTTTTGTCTTGAAGTCACTCACCAACTGCTATGAGTGAACATGTATTCCCCAAAGGAGAAAAGAACAACTGCCAAGCAGCAATTCCGCCTGAGACAGGGTTCAATTGACACCAAAGTTGGCTTCTTTTATTTGAGTGTCTTAATGATTTTTGGATCCTAATGTAATACATACCTGAAGTATATTATTATCTAGACATTGGCAACTGTGGCCTCACATTTGTGAACAACACAAATGAATCAGAATGTGATAGATAATTGAAATATATTCCTGAAATACAAAAACAAAATAAGCATAAATTAAATGGCATATATATGTGTAAATACACATATACATTACATATATACACGCACACATACATTAGAGTTACACCTTGTCTCAATAAATGTGTTTTAAGAGCCAATGAAATTTTTAAAAAGTCTTGATGAAAAACTATTAACAGAAATTTAGGAGATAAGATAGAGGTTTTTACCATCAATTTCCTTGCTTTTCAAGAAGCAACATGACCATCACTCATGGGCTCATGTGGGTTCTTGAATGTCGCCTTTGTTCTATGTACCACCCACATAGGCTGGACTTGAACTTTGGCATAATTTGTGGTTTGATGTTAACTTCATGCTTCTAACATTTTTACAATTTAGAATAGGTTTCTGTTTTCCAATATGAATTTATAGTCCATTCACATAAATCAAACATCAAATAAAATTCTCTAGTGTTTTAATCCATTTTAACTCCTGTTTTTAAAAATTAGTTTGTGTTAACAACAGTAATTCTAACTAATGTCATAATGTGGCCCTAAATAATTTAGATTACTAAATATAGTCTTATCTTTTAAAACTCTCATCTTTCCACATGAATGCCAGCTGCTGACTTTGCAAAGATGTTACCAAAACAAATCTTAAAAAAGGACCAGAAGAATGAGCAGAATATGAACCCCACAAGTAATCTCAAAGAACTCAACCTCTGAGGATAATCAGAACTCAAGGTCATGTTCAATAGTATAAAATGCTGGGTATTCTTATCAGCTGCCTGCTTGGATAACTTTGCCAAGTATGAGATCTTTTAACTTTCCAGCCAACATAATCATATTTTCTTCTTCCACAAAAAAGAGCCACAAATTATATCCTAAATTGCAATTACTCAATCTCATCCTACTCTGTAGCTTTTTGCTTGTTACAAAATTTACCCAACATAATCTGTCCACAGGATCTGCCCTGTCCAGTCCTTGATACCTGGATAGAGGTGGACACTTGTGCCACTGACTCCATTCCACAGCGATTTTCTGGGCAGGAGGTTGCCCATAGCTGCTGCTTAGTGTCTGGAAGGAGCACCCTCTGAATTCGCCATGTCAGCTTGGTTAAGACCCTGTGGTTCTTTTCATGAATGTATAGAAGAAGATTCTTTCAAAAGAAAAGTGTTGGCCCACGATCAAAGCAAAGTCATAACTAAAGACTTACAGTCTTGAATTTTCATACAAACTATGCCTAAGAAATCAAAAGGACTATCATGAGAGAGGTATTCATGAGAGAACACAGTATGTTAGAAAGCGGCGGTGATGGACAGCTAGAGGAAGCAAAATAAAACACATGGAGAGAGGCAGAAAGAAGCGGACGAACCACCGAGTGACAGCGTGGGCCAGTTACACAATTCAGGAGAAAGAGCACACTAACTGCCCTCTCTGACCCGGCTATGATTTGGTCACGCAGCTGCCAACATTTAAGGACAAATGTCTAGGAACTCATTCAGAGGAAATGTGTCTGAACCTTGCCTCACCTCAGCTCCTTTCCAAGCCAGCCCAAAACTCCTAAGCAGGGAGCTTTTGTCCACTGAAAAATAAAGATAAAAGAAAGTACTTACCAGAATGAAAATCAGTTTGAAGTATAAGGTTGTCAAACACATGGGGAAAAAACAAAATACACATTTTTGAAGACTAGCACTAGAATTAGGTCTTGAAGTTCTTCCTATGATCTCAGCAGTTCCAAGAGCAAGGGCTGTATCCCACTGTACTGTAGGAGTCTAACGGCAAGCACAGTTTGTGCCAAATTATATAGACAACACCTAACGTTTTTAATTGGCTAGAACAATCCATAACAGTATAAAAAAAATCTTGAAGTTAAGCAATGGTCATTACCAGTGAATTCTACCTTGCACACTGAATAGATAATACCTTTCTCCTCATTGTCTACTTCCATTTCTTGCATAGTTAATTCTTCCCTGATGGCACCAGTCACTTAGAAAACATAAAACTCCATATATGCCACTTCGTCATGTCACAGTTACTACCTCCCTCAGAAGGGCGTCCACCAAGGGCGGTGTGAAGGCGTAGCTGGAGGAAAAGTAGGTTCTCAGAAATTAGGCCAGCTGGTTTACTATGACTCCCAGGCAGGGCTGTAGGAGGAACAAGTGACACAGTGCCCCAAAGTCTCATTTTATGGCCAAGAAAGGCAAAGGCTTCTGTACGAAAGGTCAGGGAGGCTTTTGCTCTGATGAATCTGTAAGGAATCAGAAAAAGCTCCACAAAAGGTGAACACAACCACAAAAACAGGTTAGCTACATACGCCAGAAGGCTTCAATTTGAAACAAACAGCCCACATGTGACAAGTGACACAGGAAAATAAACTGCCCTCCAAAGACTCGCTGCAAATCAGGACGGGACAACTATGTGACTGGGCAGAGAAAAGTTTTGCCAGCTTAGCCGGGGAGTGGAATGAATGGGGAGAGGCAGGCCCTGACATGCAAGAGGCCTGAATCCTAAAGGGTTAAGAAAGAGCTGCTTACCAAAAGTGCCAAGAAAGGAGGGCAGTGGGAACAAAACTCACACCGAGGTCTTCAGGTCCTGCAGGCAGACCTCGCCGAGGAGCAACCCCACGTCTGAGCCTGAGCTGTTCCTTGATGTCAAGAACCAAAAAGAAGTTCCACCAGGGATACCCCAGCCCTCAGTCCCTCCGGCTTCTAATCTCCAGCTGGCTTTGCTAACCTTCTGTGTGACGTGAAGATGCCTCCCATTTCCCTCCCTTCACTTCTCCTGCCTCTTCTGTCCTTTCCCCTCCTTTTCCACTTCCAATACTTTGTCTCCTCCCTCCTTCCACTCTTACTTTTCATCACAATAATTTCATAAATGTTTGATTGTAACAAGTTATTCTAATAGAGAGAATTGACAAATTAGGGTCAGAAAAGGTGTATAAATATTTTACTTCTACATATTTTAACTAATAAGTTAAAATATACTCCAGGCTGCTTATATGACTCACCTTCCCGGGCACAGGCATTATTTTAATTTAGCTCACCAGCAATGCTCTGAGGATCACACCCTTGAAAGACACAACAGTACCACTCATCCAAAGCCCAGAAACGGGTGCAGTCCACACCTACCAGAGGCGATTCTCCCAGCGCACAGGCCAAGTCAGACGTTAAGGTCTAACAGAGCCAGTGTGTTGCTTTGTTTCTTCTATTTGCTTTTAAGCTTAGAAATCTTTCCTGTCAGCTTAATAATCACCTGTATTTTCTTCTGTGGGCTTAGTGCGTTCATGTTTCACATTTAACTCTGTAATCCTTCTGAGATTTATCTTGACATATGAGTTGCGGTGAGAAAAGACTAAATGAATTTTTCCTCAGTACCGTTTGTGAAATTATTATGAATTTCCTATTAGTTTACCATAGTTCATTATGTTCTTTTTATTTTTGGTACACTAATGTCTTATTGAAGGGTGGTTCAAAATAATTTCCTTTCCCTATGATTATTTAAGAACAGTGAGCAGTCAAAGAGCCTGTGGTCTCTCTGTGACCACCATCACATGATTCACAGAAATTACCATTTATGCTTAGCAAAATGCAAGAAGAATATCTCAATGATGAATTTTTGCTGATGAAAAAACCAGAATTTCTGAGATACCACAAGTGGAATCAAAACAAATCTAAAGGTAACCATCAGTCTCTGGGTTTATGACACGTGTTAGTCACTGTCCCAGCAATGAGACAGCAGACAGCACCCCCAGCGTGAAGAAGGAGAGATTTAATTTGACTCGCGGTAGCCTGGCTCACAGTCAAATAGCACTGAGCAGAAACAGCATGGTGGAAGGCATGGTGGAGACAGCTATTCACTCCAGGAAACCAGGAAGCAGAGTGACAAGGGAGGACGCAGGAACAAGAACCCCTGCTCTGCATCACATCCCTGGTGGCCCCTTTGCGGAACCCACGCTGCCTCTAACCCCACTGGACTCGAGTCACTGATGCGGCAGTGACTAATCAGTTACCCTCGATCCAATTATCTTTCAAAAGCCTCACCTCAGAGTACATGAACTTTTGGGGTACATTTTAGATCTAAACCATAATGTATCCCTGTAAAGAGATCAAATCCCAGTGGCTAAGGTGATGTAAAAAACTCTCAGAGAGAATCCTTCTCACCCAGCAGCCGCTGTGTTCTTCACAAGAGACCCACAAGGCTTGGTTTAGATGTTACTAGCATTGTTCAGTGTCTCTGCAATCTGCAGCCTAAAGGAGAAAAGTCACATCTGTTGCAGGGGAAGTTGTGCTCTGCCCCACAGCATGGCACAAATTTCATGTAGACCAACAATGACCGTCTGTCAAGATCCTCCAAGATCTTGGCTGGCTGGGATCATGAAAACGCAGGATGTCTGAGCACCTAGAATATAAAAGATGCTCTCTGTCCCACTTTCTTTAATACTCTGAAAATTTGGTTATTAAAATTTTTTAAATGAATAGCAAAAAAAGAGAGAACTTGAGAATATACTAGAGTAAAATCACTATGCCTAAATATATGTTTTGCTTTTAATATAAGCATCACTGCAGTCTGACAGACTAGTTAGAAAAATCATCTGTGACTCCTGATAAACTCCCCTGTGTACATGAAACACAGGCAAGCAAGCAAAAGGGATGTCCTGACCATGCTAAACTTTCAAATCATTATGGTTGACATAAGTGAGGTTTAGTTTTTACATTTTATTTTATTTAAAAAAGGATGAAACTAAACAGAACAAAGCAGATCAGAAAAACAACAATGTAAGTGACAAAGATTTCAAAGCAAGACAACAGGAGATCTACAGTTCCTACCATAATGTCTCTTGTTTCCTTCTAAATGGTTGTCTATACCTTCAAACACAATGAATTAATACAAAACAAAATAGTATACAACTGATCAGAGTAGGGTAATGAAGTCATTACAAGGCCTTCAAAACCAGACAATATGAAAATCAACAATGGCTGCCATAATGTCTCTTGTTCTCGTCAAAATAGCTGTCTATTCCTTCATGTATGTTGAAATTAAACAATACAAAACAGACTAAAACCACTCTACACAAAGAATAGAAGCATTACTGGATTTCACAGCTGATGATACAGAATCAGCAGTCGGTACCATAATGTCTGCTTTTCTTCAAAGTAGCTGTTCATTTCATCACACATAATATAATTGATTCTCATAAAATGTTTAGAAGTAGTTCTAGGAATGTATAAGCCTCTACATGTATACCTTTCTGTATTAGAGAGAAAAACAAAACAAAACAGATTACTAGAGTAATAAGAAACAAAAAGACAAACAACAATATCAAAGAGCCTAAAGGAATAACGATACAGGCCTTCAAAACAAGGTGGTAGAAACAGAACTAAGGTTTATATTTTCCGTAGTGATCTTCAAGAGTTCCTCAGATCACCGGACATAAGCATGCAAAATTGTTCCAATCCAACTGTTTTGTTCCAAGACTTAGAGAATTTGTAGCACAATCAGCTATCCTGTGTGTTTACACAACTTTAGATATTTTTTTCTTTTCCCTTTCTTTTTCTTTTTCCTGGTCTTCCCTGAGATATTATTTTTCCACTTTGAGTAGATTCTTACTCTTTCACTGTATTTATTGAGGATTTTATATCTTATGTATGCTTACTATTTCTTACACTAAGGAGACAATATGGTATTTACACATGTGAGTTTGATTTATTTCACTTTATGAGTATGGTCTCAAGTTGTATCCACTTACAATAATCTCAATGTGATCATTCTTTATAGCTGAGTAGTACTCCATTGTATAAAAATACCACATCTTTTTTATTCATTCCTCAGTTCATGGGCATTTAGGTTGTTTTCAAGATCTGGCTATTACAAATTGTGCTGCTATAAACATGGGTGCACATATATCACTGTGATATGATGTTTCTGATTCTTCTGGGAATATGCCTAGAAGTGGAATAGCTGGGTGAAATGGGACTTCCAATCCCAGTTTTTTGAGGAACTTCCAGACTGACATAGACGAGAACATAGTGGTTGTACCAGTCTACACTCCCACCAACAGTACAAAAGAGTTCCTTTTCCCCCGCATTTGTTGTTAATAGTTTTCTTGATCCTGGCCATTCTTTCTGGAGGGAAATGGAATCTCAGTGTGGTTTTAATTTGCATTTCTCTAATGAACAATGATGCTGAACATTTTTTCATGTATTTATTTACCATTTGTATTTCTTTATCTGAGAACTGTGTATTCATCTCAGATGCCCATTTTTGGATTGGGTCTTTGAATTTGGGGGATCTGATTTTTTAAACTTCTAAGGGACAGTTGACTAAGATTTTTTCAAAATTCATGGATTTCCTTTTCACTCTGCTGGAGATTCCTTTTGACCTGCAAAAATGTATTAATAAGATGAGATCCTAGTTATTGATTCTGGGAAGTATTTCCTGTGCAGTTTGAGTTTTGTTCTTGAATTCTCTACCCACAATTAGGTCTTTAAGTTTTTTACCTAATTTGCCTTCCAATAGACTTAGTGTTTCTGTTTTAATATTTAGATCTCTGATGTATAAAGGAAACGTGGTGATAGGCATGGATCTAGTTTTAGTTTTCAGCATATGGAAAGCCAGTTTTTCCAGCACCATTTATAAAGAGACGATCTTTCTTCCAGTGAACGTGTTTAGCCCCTTTACAAAGATAAGGTGGCTGAGTGTGTTTGTGATTGTACTTGTATCTTCTAATCTACTACACTGATCTTCAAGTCTGTTTTTTTTCCAGTATCATGCTGATTTTATTACAGTAACTTTGTAATATAACTTCAAGTCAGGGATTGTGATGTCTCCTGCCTTGCATTTGTTGCTCAGAATTGCCTTTGCTTTTCTAGGTCTTTTCTGGTTCCAGATGAATTTTAGGAATGACTTCTCTAGATCTTTGAGGTATGCTAGTAGTATTTTGACTGGGATTACATTAACACTGTATAATAATTTTGAAAGAATGGCCATTTTCACAATATTTGTTATTCCTATCCATGAACAAGGAATGTGTTTCCATTTTCTGAGATCCTCTTCAACTTTTTTTTCAGGGTAATATAGTTTCCCCTGAATAGATTTTTTTACTTCTTTTGTTAAATTGATTCCTAAGAATTTCTTCTTTTTTTAAATGCTATTGTGAAGAATGTGGCTTGTTTCTCTCTCAGTAATTTTGTTGTTTCTGTATAGCAATGCTATTGATCTTTGAGTGTTGACTTTTTTTACAGCTACATTACTGAATTTATTATACCTATGAGTCTTTCAATGGAGTTTTGGGGGTCTTCTCTGTAGAGTATCATGTCATCTGCAAATAATGATAATTTAATTCCTTTTCCTATCCTTACTCCTTTTATTTCTCTCTCGTCTAATTGCTCTGGCTAGTATTTCCAGAACTATATTGAATAGGAGCGGTGATAATGGACATCCTTGTCTTGTGCCTGATTTTAGAGTAAAAGCTTTTAGCTTTTGGCCATTTAATATGATGCTGGCTGTTGGTTTGTCATAAACAACTTTTACCATATTGGGATAAAGACCATCTATTCCAATTTTCTATAAGGTTCTTACCATGATGTTGGGTCTTATCAAAAGCTTTTTCTGCATCTATAGAAATGATCATGTAATTATTTTGGGCTCTATTGATATGGTGGATTGCATTTATTGATTTGCATATGTTGAACCATCCCTGCATTCCTGAGATGAATTCCACTTGGTTGTGGTATATAATCTTCTTGATGATTTGTTACATTCTGTTTGCCAATATTTTATTGAGAATTTTTCCATCTATGTTTATTAGGGAGATTGGCCTGTAGTTCTCTTTTTTAGTTGGATTTTTCTCTGGTTTTCATATTAGAGTAATGCTTGCATCCAGGAATGAGTTAGGGAGAATTGCTTCCCTTTCAATTTCAAGAGTTGTGAAACATCAGCATTAAGTCCCCTTTGAATTTCTTAAAGAATTCCACAGTGAATCCATCTGGACCTGGACTTTTCTTTCATGGTAAGGTCTTAATTACATTTTCAATTTCATTGATTGAAATTGGGTTATTCAGCAGTTTTACATCATCTTGATCCAGGTTTGGTAATTCATTTGTTTCTAGGAATCTGTCCATTTCTTCTGTTTTATCAAGCCCATGAGAGTAGAGGTTTTCAAAATAGGTATTGATGATCATCTATATTTCCACAGGGCCTGTAGTGATTTTATCATTCTCATTCCTAATTGCAATGATTTGAGTTTTTCTTTCCTTTTTTAATAAGGTTTGCTTATCAATTTTATTTATTCTTTCAAAGAACCAACTCTTTGATTCATTGATTCTTTGTATCATTTTCTTAGTCTCTATTGCACTGATTTCTGCTCTGATCTTTATAATTTCTTCCCTTCTTTTGGCTTTGGGCTTGACTTGCTCTTTTCTTTCTAAATGTTCGAGGTGTAGCATCAGGTTATTTGTGTGTGTTCTGTTTTCCTGATACGGGAATTCACAAGAATAAATTTTCCTCTGAGGACTGCTTTCATTGCATCCCACAGGTTCTGGTAAGTTATATTTGCATTTTTATTTGCTTGTAGCTATTGCTTAACTTCTTCTTTAATTTCTTCTGTGACTCACTGATTGCTCAGGAGTGTATTATTCAATGTCCATGTGCTTGTGTGGTTTTTGCAGTTTCTTTTGTCTTTAATTTCTAGTTTCATGGTGCTATGATCCGATAACATGCATGAGATAATTTCAATTCTTTTGCATTTACTTAAGCATATTCTGTGGGCTAGTATATGGTCTAATTCCCATGTGCTGCTGAGAAGAATGTTTATTCTGATGTTGTTGGGTGGAACACTCTGTATATGTTTACCAAGTCTATTTGTTCACAAGTGTGATTCAGTTTTGTTATTTCTGTGCTGATTTTCTGTCTATCTGATCTGTTTCTTTTTGTCAATGGGGGGTTAAGGTCTCCTATTATCATTGTGTTTTTGCTTATTTGATGTTTCATTTCTGTTAATATTTGTTTTTGTATAGCTGGATGCTTCCAAATTCGGTGCATATATATTTAAGATTGTTATCTCTTCATCTTGAAATTTTCCTCTGGCCAATGTGTAGTGACCTTCTTTATCTCTTTTGATCATTCTTGGTTTGAAGTTCACATTGTCTGCAAACAGAATATCTATCCCTGCTTTTTGTGGGGGTGTGGATTTCCTATTCCATCCTTTGACTTTCATTCTATGAGTTTCCTTTGGGTTAGATGAGTTTCTTGTATACAGCATATGGTTGGATGTTGTTTCTTGATCCATTCTGCCAGGCTGTTCCTTTTAATTGGTGAATTGAGGTCATTTACATTAATGGTTATAGATATATATTGGTTTACTTTTGACATGTTATCTTTCTGCTGTTGATTCCTTACTTTTCCACTCTGTTTAATTGTTTGCTGTGCTTAGTGGGTTTTTTTTTCTATGTCTGTCTAGAATGTCTTTCAGCATTCTTTGCAGGGTTGGTTTGGTGGTCATGAAGTTTTTCAGCTGTTCTTTGTCTTGGAAGCATCTTATTTCTCCATCAATTTTGAAGGACAGTTATGCAGGGTACTTCAGTCTGAGTTGGAAATTGTTTTTCTTTAAGATCTGAAATACTTCACTCCATGTGCTTCTTGACTTCATTGTTTGTGTTGAGAAGTCTCCTGTGATTCTGATAGGCTTTTCTTTATAGGTGATCTTTCTCTTCTCCCTAATAGCTATTAATATTCTGTTTTATGTTGGACTTCTGGGATGTTGATTATTACATGTCTGGGTGTAGTTTTCTTTTTGAGTTCTATATGCTTCACTGATCTGTATGTCAGTTTCCATTCTCGTGTTTGGGGAATTTTCAGTTATTACTTCTGTAAATAGCCTCTTGATATCATTTGTTTTGTCTGCTTCTTTTTCATTTATCCATATTAATCTTATATCATTTTACTTTGCATCATCTTGCAGCTGTTGAATTTTTATTTTCTGATTCCTTGTTATTTTTAAAAGATCTTTCCCTTCCTGCTCACTAGTTGCAATCTTGTCTTCAATGCCTGAAAGTGTATCTTCCTTTCATTAAGGCAGTTTTGCCAACTTTTGATGGAATTTTTGATTCCTGTATATCTCCTTGAATCTGTTTCATGCATTCTGTTAGTTTCTAATATTGTCCATTGAAGGTTTCCATCTTTTTGCATTTTTCCTCTAATTTTTAACTATGTCTTCTTTAGATGTGTTTAGCATTTCTTTCATTATATTTATCATTTCTTTTTTTACCTGGAAGATTATTTCTGATCTGAGTTCCTTTATAGCTTCCTGGAGTTGGTTCTTTACTTCAATTGCTAGCATTTGAGGAGTTTCAGGTGTATGGCTTACATTTTCTATGTCCATATCTCTTAGGCTTGCTTGGGATGGGCTGGAGGTTTGAGACTGTAGTTTGCTCTTTTGTTTTCATTTTCATATATTCCTTTAGGGAAGCTGAAAGCAAGATCTCAGTTGTTTCTTGGGTTCAGGATATCTATTCCTATTGCAGGGAGTTTCCCCAGTTGAGTGGAGGTCCTTAGACAGATCTTACCAGATGACTCTGGCCACTTGGGGTCACTGGGTGGAACCTTACTAGTCTCCAAGTGAAGCACCAAAGCTTTCCCATGGGCTGGAGATTGCTGCGCATACTTTGGCTCATTAGATAGAATGTAGGCAGCTATGCACTGCTTGGGGATCCAAGGTTTAATTTTAAAGAAAATTTAACTAGCTTCTGGCAATAACTTGAGACAAAACAGTTCCCCAAGAAAATTCCTACACAAATCTGCAAGTAATTTTTTCAGCTATGATTTCTACTCTTCAAAATTCTTTGCTTCTAAGTCTCCTTCTATATTATGATCTAATTAAATTATTCCTTGCTCCTTCACACTTCACATAACAGTGTCACTCAGAAGTATATTTATATCACATGTATGAAAGATATTGATTTTGAGCATCGAGGAATTTATTCAGTTTATGCTATAAATTATTGCCTCATAATTTGAAAAAAATTCCCAATAGCTTAATAAGAATATAACCACAAATTTACAATGAGATAGACTCTAAACTTCGAACTTATAAAACAGATAAATTTATGGTTATTTGTATCTAACATGGAGGCTTTCTAGAAATCTGACTGCTAGTTTCCTTTAAGTAGAAATTTCCCTTGGAGAAATTAAAATAAATTCAGTTTTAAAAATTTTAAGTGACAGATGGCTTTTCACATAAAGAGCTGTTACTCAAGGCAGAGCAAACTTTCACTTACTTGCCTCCAAACTGCATCATTTAGATTATCATGCTCCAGAAGCCAGGAGTGTGGAGAAAAGAATCCAGGCCAGCGAGGCATGTGCAGCAGAGTGGCAGAGCACCCTGGAGATGCTGTGTCTTACACAGCTGGCAAGAAGCACATCTTCCTCCCTAGCAGGAGGAGGCATTGTTGCCATTCTGTGGTCCAGCTCTGGTAGCACTCTGGCCAGGGCTACACAAGGACATTAGCAGCTCACAGTCCTCATCCAGGTGAGCCCAGTAGCCCAGGACCACAGTTCGTGATGGCTTGAAAGCAGGCTCAGTGGAACAAGGCTGCTGCGCCACGGGCACAGGGATTCTTCTTTGGGGATGTTGTGAAGATAGTGTACAAAGACCACACAGAATTCAACAAAGTACATCTGCAGTAGGGCACAGTAAACCCCAGCAACCCCACAAAGGACCTGTTAACTCCACCACTATTCTTCATATTACACCAAAGGAGTAACCAGCAAATTTGGCCGGTGTGCAAGGCCAGAGCTGTATGAAGAATTCCAGAGGAACAAGCAAATGGTATTAAGCACAGTGCATCTTCCGGGCTTGGCCTAGGAGTTGAACCAGCAGATTCGGGCTACAGGTCATGGTGTGCCACTGCACCTCACGGGCACAAGGCTAAATGTCAACACATCCTAATACTGAATAGTGGCAAGTATGGATGAGACAACAGCCCAAGTACCCAGAAAACAATCAAAGGAAACAAAATCTGCCATTGAGAAATGACCAAGGCAGGAAATATATAAAAGAAAGTGGCTATAACAAAATGAAAAAGGAACTTTGGTGCCCAAAGAGGACCTTACACTGAGGCCGCTGAATTCTGGAGACAAATACAATCAACTAAAATACTGCATCATTTTTTAAAGTTGAATGCCCCTTAATTATTAACAGCTCTCAATTCCTACAATGCTTTCAAAGTTGTGTTTTTATAAAAATAGGTAATACTATGTTTAACTATATTAAGTCAATGATGTGGACAAATCTATTGAAAATAACAAGAGAAAACATAGTAACTACGGAAGATCACCTATATTGTGGTCTTATATGTCTTATCCATTGCATGTTTTTCTAGGAATTTGTTTTGCTGTCTTGTTATGATTTATTCTTCCCTATAATACAGAGAGGATAGATATATATGTAGAAATTCACACATGAGACTTTTTTTTTAAAATTATTTACGGGAACAGATTATATAATGCAAGATGTAATGAACAGATACTGTGAAGAAGAGACACTAAGAAACCCAATGCTAATTTTGTAGCATTATGATATAAATTCTAGCAATACTATTATTCACTGATCAGAATGATATTAGTCTAGTCTCATAAGTTCAATTTCAACATATGTAAAGATGGGGATGGCTATCACGATGAGAATAAGAGGTGTGATGAGATGCAATGGTAGTTATTATTGTCTTCCCCAATGTCAGATCTTGAAGACCTAAAAAGCCTTCATCATCCTGTAATGATTTGATTAGTTTTATAATATGCAATATATATATATAATGTGGGTGAAGACTGTAAGAAACTAGAGACAGTTAGATAGACAGTGAAGATCTCCAGTGGACTTGCTTTGAAATCTGTATTTCTTTAAATTGTTTTTTTAACTGTTTTGTTTTGTTTTGATATGTTTAATCTTACCCTCTTTGAGATGTAAAACAGGTGTGTAGGACTGACAACCATATTACTGAGTTTTTGTTCGATCATTGAGCAGAACTGTTGGCAGTGTCACGTTTTGAATATCATTTTTTTTTGTCTTTTTCCTTTTTATCTGTACTGAGGATCAAACTCACGACTGCCTGCTTGCAAGGCAGGCGCTTATGCTGCTGAGCTAAATCCCCAGCCCCTTGAATGTCATTTTAAATACATTAATTTTGTAACCTGAACAGCTATTTCTAAGATGACAATATGTAACTTATCAACCAGCGATTTCTTACCATTTATTTTTCTGTAATTTTGTATTATTTCTACCCTTTTTTATCTCCATGTAATTTTTTTGTTTCCTTTTCTTTAAATAAAAAAAAAGTTGAATGCCCTGTTCATGATCATCAGTCCCAAGCCTTTTTAAGAGGTGTCTGAGCAATGGCAGGAGAGACCCAGTGTCCTTCAGGTGGTCTTCAGACATGAGAGACCGAGGGTTTACATGTTTCAGAACTAGGAGCACAAAAACAGCAACCTGCAGACTCAGGGCACAGGGCGAGACTTTTAAAATCAATACTCAGCTTCACAACCAAGAATCCATGAAGAGAGCACATGCCATGAAAAAACAAACAATTATACGGTGATTGAGATGATACAAGTTCTTGGGTAAGAAAAATTTCAGTTTTCAAGGACAAACAAACAAAGTCAGTTGTAGCATTGAAACAGAACATAAAGAAAAAAAAGATATGGCAGCTGTACCTCAGATCTTAAATAATTAAAGTGTTTAATCCAGGGAAAGAAAATGCACTTGAATATCTGCTACACCTTCAGGCAGCATTAGTAGCAAGGAGGCAGCTCCCGTGAGCAGCGACTGTGGGTCCTGTCTGTGTACATCCCAGAACACCAACCACTTTTCACACTGAAACTGCAAATAAATGCCGATCAGATAAAACAGGGTGCTGGTAAACTGCATGCTGTTCCTAGTCAAATTGAAATGCATCAGAACATAGCAAACTAATTTTCTATCAGTACCAATATATAGCCCACAATGTATAAAGCAATCAGAGATGGAGCTGAAATTCAAATATCTTCTTGAAAATCTGAGTTGGGGGAATAGTGTCACATCCTGTAGAATTTATGTAAACAAAGATGATGAAGCAAATACACTTGAATATAAAGCATTTAAAAGAGTAATCTAAAAAGAAAAATAAAAAGCTAATCTAGACTAATGAATACACACTATTTCCACTATTTTATTGGGGCAACCATTCAAGTAGGGGCAACAGGACAGAGAAAAAACTGCATAGATCCATCAGCAGTTTTCCCCATAGCTTTACCCAAGGAACATTAGTGTCCTGAGAGCCTAGAAGAAATTTTTGTAAAGATGAATTCAAATTTTACATGATATTATTATGTCTTGCCCCTTGGTAAGGGTTTCTTAACTGGATCAAAGCCCGCATCTACATCTCCTCGTGTGAATAGGCAGTTACAGCCACTCTGCATACTAGGTGTGGTCTGATGGGTCACGGAGAAGACAGGCCCTCTTTAGGGCAGGCAGTGTTAATCCCCAGGCAGCCGCATCTCTAGGCCCATGGGATGAGCAGTGACCCCTTTACATCAACCTAATAATGCTCTCTTCAGTGATTGGTCCACCAGAGGATATGTTCCCTACTTCTGACCAAAGACACAAAAGACATGTTTTTTTCTGTGATACAGAGAAAAACCCAAGGACAAAGAACTCTCTGCCTACCCTCTAGATCAAGTGTCTTCTCTTAGTTAACCAGGTATGACTGGGTTGGGAGGTTTCACCAGGAGTCTCATGATAGAGATTTTTATTCTTAAAAAAGCCTGTAGGTTATGGTACAGAAAATACATGAGATAAGCAAATGCTTCTCTCCAGGTAACACAGGCCAACTACAAGAGGCTAACTGACCCGTATGTGCAGTGCAGGGTCTCTCGATTTAACAGTAAAAGACACCTGATCCAAAACCTATAGGGGAACCAGAAACTTATGATTTATGTGCTAGATCTCTCCCCCTCTTTTCCTCCCTCTGGGGAGGCAACTGGTGAGGAGGCAACAGATATAGACACATAAAATCCTGCAAGGTGAGGTATTGGTGTGGGATAGATAACTGAGCAGAGCAGCTGTCACATCTGGCTCCTGGGAAAGGGGTGGAGGAAATGGCTTGGCTTCATGTCTTTCCTGACCCCAGTGGTTTGTCCTTCTATGGTCTAGGTGCGTTTGTTTTTTGTTCTCATAGGTACATGAAACTCATAAACCATTCTTTAAAAATCAGTAATAAACAGTGTGAATGTATCTCTTCCTTTAAACCTTTATCTGATCTCCTGATAACACAACACTGACCAGTGTCTCTCTTTAAGAGTTCTCCTTCCTTAGTTCTCTAGCAAAAGGCTCCTTGTCACAAGTCTGTGTTCTCCTTGAGGGCAGTGACTCTTCTGCTGCATTTCACTGTCGGGGTGCTGAGGTTTCTCCAGCCTTGCTCTGCTCCTCAAGGGACCTTGCCATTCCCATGTCCTCAACTCTGCCTTATCTGAAACCTTTCAGAGCACTTTTATTCTGTCCAACAAACATGCCTGCTTGGAAAAACACACTTGCTTTGTTAAAATGATCACTTAGTTGTTAGTCACAGGACTTTACACTTCTCAGTTTTAAGGATAGCTGCAACATTATTCTGAGCATTGTACTACAAAAACATGTAATGACAATTCTTCAATAAATTTCCAATAAAGATGCTTAGGTGAAAGAATATAGAGTGATGAAATAATAAAACTTGGTTGAATTTCCTGTTTAAATTCATTGAAAATATTTTGTTTCATTATATGCAGGAATCTTATAATTTCATTTATACGGAGAATTATGAAACAAAATAATTAGGACTGAATCCAGCTCTGAGTTGGGAAAAATCACTCCGTGTGTGTGTGTGTGTGTGTGTGTGTGTGTGTGTGTGTCTGTGTGTGTGTGTGTGTGTGTGTGTGTGTGTGTGTACAATACAAAGTAACAGAAATGAATTACTGGCACAGTACTATGAAGAAAGTTAAGGTCTTCACATCTCAGTGTCTCATTTTATAGATGAAACAGAAAGGCAGAAAACTTGTGGTCTCCCCACAGCAAAGGAGCTAACTCATGGCAGAGGTAAACACTAGGATCACCTGACCCCATGCCCAGTGCTCCTCCCCAGACCACCTGACTCATTAGCAGTCCTCACACATATCAAGAGCAAAACGGCAGAGGCAGCTGAGGGCTGGGGAAGACCTGGTCAGTAGGGCATCCACCCTCTCCACAGAATCTCCTTCTACCACTGACTTCCTCCCCTTAGCCTCTGCATATGGGAGACAGGAAGCAGATGTTCTCCAAGCAGGGGTGTGAAAAACGCAAGCTCACACCTTCTCTTTGCTGAGCTTGGGAGAACTCAAACTGTTCTCCCTTGAGTAGTAAAGTCAGCTACTGCGATGTGCCAAACCTTGATCCAGAGTAATGAAGTCACCCCATGAAAACAAATAAGGTGAGCTTTAAATTACATTTGGTGATTCAAGCCTGGGTGTGAAATATATTAAAATTATAAAAAGTGATGACAGATAAGAAGTTAATATAAAATATGCCAAATTATTTCATTAGAAAACTGCTCTAAGATACTGCATTTAAATATAGTCAGGGTATTTTTTCAATATTTCCAAAGCTCAGCTTTTTTAGGATATACATGTGTATGTATAGCAATAAATAACACCATGGAGATTATATATATATATATATATATATATATATGCTTGCATTTACATATATGCATGTTTACTAAGAGAGACAGAGAAACAGAGAACAAAAACTAAAGTAAATACTGAGGCCAGAACAGAGAGCCTCATCTATCTTTTTTTTTATTTAAGGAGAAAAAGGAAAAAAAAAAAAAACAGAAAAAGAGTACAAGTAATATAAAATTTAAAAAATAAACAGTAAGAAATCACTAGTTAATAGATTACATATTCTCATCTTAGAAATAGTTGTTCAAGTTACAAAATTGAAGCACATAAAGTGGACTTTCAAACAGTGAGAGTGCAAACAGTTTTGTTCAATGATCCAAAAAACACTCAGTAATATGGTTATCTATCTTATACACTTAAACATATATGCAGTTATAACCTTAAGAGCACTTTCTTTTCTTTTCTTTTTTGTAGAATGACAATTACACATTTTGGGTTTTATTACTCCCACAGTTCTTATTACTTTTTTTGAAGAGAGTAAAACCAAATGCGACATATCAGAACAGAGTCAGTCAAATCAAAAGGATGGACATAATAGATAATGTAAAAACAAAATACTAGGTGATCAACAATGGTTACCATACTGCCTCTTGCTATTTTAAGAAGAATTGGCAGTTATAATAAAATTGAACTAAACAGGAAAGAATAAAACCAAAGCATTGGAAACATTACAGGATTTTAAAAGAAAATAATAGTCAATCAGAATGGGCGTCATAATGATTCTTATTGTCTTCACAGTTATACCTATACTTTTGATCTTGGTACTATCAAGCAAAGCAGAATAGAGGAAAATCAGTCAAAACAAGATGGTGAGGGCAATACAGGATTTCAAATCAAGTTAATAGAAAATCAAAGTAGGTTACTATAATGTATCCTCATATTTTTATTTTATTTTTCCCTTAATTAAAAAAATAAAAAGAAAAAAGTAAATAATTTTAAAAGGGGGGGAATAAAATAAAAAAGGGCATAACAACAGAACAGCACAGGTCAAATCAAAACCATTTAAGCAAACCAGTGTTTCACCACAAGATATCCTGACATAAAAATAGTTACCATAATGTCTCTTTCCTTGAAATCTTTGAGTATAACTTCTTATACTGTAGCACCAAACATATCACGACACTATAAAACCATTCAAGAGAATGACATTATTACTACAGGGTACTTAGAACCAATTGACAGAAAATGAACAATTGTTTATATATAAACTCCTTGTCTATAAAAGTTTTTGCTTATAATATCATATATAATAAAATCCAATAAGATACAACCTTTTAAGACCAATAGAGACTGAAGAATACATGTTTGATGGGACTTCAAAACAAGATGATACTAAATCAGCACTAGCTATTAAGATGTCTTGTTTTCTCCAAAATTGCTGTTCCTATCTTCCGATTTTCTCTGCCTCACTTCTGTTGAGCTCTTTTTCTGTCGTTTGTTGTGAGTTTGTCATTCTTCATTTCATTTTCTGGTCCATTCATTGTGGCCTCTCTGCCACTATTTCTGGAATCTTGGTATTTTCTTTTTTTAGACTATCCTGCAGTATTCTCTGTAGAATTAAGTTAGTGGTTGCAAATTTCCCTAGTTCCTCTTTATCCTGGAAGCACCTTGTGTTTCCATCAATTTCTGGGGACAGTTGTGCAGGATATATCAATCTTGGCTGGAGGTTATTATTTTTGAAAGCTTGAATTATTTCCCCCCACGCTCTTCGTGATTTGATGGTTTGTGCTGAGAAGTCTGCTGTAATTCTGATGGATGTTCCCTTGTAAGTGATCTGTTTCTTGTCTCTGATGGCTTTTAATATTCTGTTCTTATATTGGATTTCTGGAATTTTGATTATTATATGCCTGGGTGTAGCTCTGTTTGGGTTGTAGGTGGCTGGGGTCCTGTATGCCTCATATACCTGAGTATCCTTACCATTTGCCAAATTAGGGAAATTCCCTTGGATTATTTCTGTGAATAGCTTTTGTAGTCCATTTGTTTGTGCCCCTACTTCTTCTCTTATGTTCTTAATTCTTAAGTTATAGATCCTCTTATCATCTTCTAGTTTTTATATTGTTGCTGTTTGTTTTCTTGCTATTTTTAAGAAGTTTTTCATTTCATGCTCCCATATTACAAATCTGCCCTCCAGTTCAGATAATCTGTCCTTAGTTTCTTTCAAGCTGTTATGCCAGTTTTCGATAGAGTTTTTAGTTTCCTGGTAATCTCTTTGAACCTGCTTCATGTATTCTATGTTTTCTCTATCTTCTCCATCAAACAATTCTCCCCTTTTTTTCTGTTCTTCCATTCCACCATCTGTTTTTTCTTGGGTGGTGCTTAGCATTTCTCTAACTATTCTGCTTATGTCTTGCTTCAGGTCATTAATAACTTCATTCCTGAACTCATCTATGAGGCTCTGGAGACAGAGCTTTATATCTATTGGTGTCATGTCTGCTATTGCATGTTTCTCAGGATTGGGGGCCGAGGACCCTTTCTTGTTGCTCCCTCTTCCCATATTCTTTGTTCCTTATATTTACACGTGTATAGGAGGCCAAGCTTCCTTCCCTGTCGGCCACAGTCTGTTTGAATTGCGCTAGAT